TTCTGCTGGGATTGACATCCCGTGGTAACTAGGATTTACACAAGCTTCAGTCTGGATCCAGAACACCTGAGAAGAGGGGGGAGAGGAGGAGGAGGGAGAGGAGGAGGACGTGGTGAAGGAGGAGGAGGATGTGGTGGAGGAGGACGTGGTGAAGGAGGAGGAGGGAGAAGAAGGGCAAGGAGACAAGCAGTCTCAGATGAAATTCGAGCCACTTTAGTTGACCATGTCCTTGTCCATGGTATGACTATGAGGGAGGCTGGGCAACGAGTACAGCCAAATTTGCCATGGAAGAAGCCTGCCTAGACATATCAGTAGATGCATGCCAGGGGTGGATCAGGCATGCAAGAGGATTTTACCCTCGCTGCCTGGCTAGGGCCAATATAGCCTGTGATGTGGACGAGATTCTCTGGCCTGACCCAGAACAAAGACGGGATGCTGAGGCGGAATAATTATTTTTATTTTTTTTACAGTTTTGCTGTGTAGTACATGAATTAATAAAAATGTGCCAATGTATACATTGGTTGTGTCTCTTGTGTTCATGTGAAAAGGTTTTTGAGGGGGAGAACCACAAGCAACATAACCTACCAGTTTTGGATATATTGATTTTAATTTATTGCACCAGTGTGTAATACTATGTTGTAGTGTGTGTGTGTTTGAAGGCTTGTGTGTGTGATGTCTGAGGGAAAAGTTTGGTTTTTCAGCAAGAGTGAATGGTTTTGAGTGTAGAGCTTCATTTTGACCTGAAAATATGATGTTTGGGGAATTGGGTGAGACGTTATGGATTTGTGTTTACTGTTTTGAGAATACGAGGCATAGTTTCAAGAAATGTGTTTAAGCAATCGAGAAAAACTGTAAAAGGGAGGCAAGTGGATCATAAAGCACCTGTCAGTCATCACAGTGAAACAGCCAATGCAGTGCATGCACTGTTGACCCAGTTATGCGTCATTGCTCATGTGGTGGGACGAGCACAGAGGGTGTGCTGATTCACTGCGAACAAACAACATTGATCCCATTGCCAAAAGGGAAAAGTTTCTTCAGATTTCTTTTGACACCTGTAGATTATTTTAAGGAGCTACTTGGATTATTCGAGCGCCACCTAACTGAATGGCTGTTCAGTGGTTGATGAATTAAAATGCAGTGGGCTCTGGAGAGAGTGCATGTGTGCAGTGGATGGACAGCGGCTCCGGTTCACTCTCGACATGAAGAGATTCATCCGTGTGTCGCAGCTGGTCGCGATTCTGCTCTACATTCCTCTTGTACAGGTAACTTCATGAGTTCCTTACAAGTTTACCATTGTAAACCGTTGTTACTACAGTTATTCAAGTCACTGGCTTAGAAATCAGTTAATGTGATGCATTAAATAGTGTAAGACACTTTTTAAGAGTGTTCTTGTCATTCTAATTAATGCAATTAATTGTAACAACTCCAGTTTTATTCTTGTTAGTGGTGGCTTCTGCTAAGTTACTATAGATAACTAAAGCAACTAGTATTTACACTGCAAAAACATTATTCTCTTACTAAGTATTTTTGTCCTGTTTTCTGTAAAAAAAAAATACAAAAAATAAATAAGGCAATATTTTGTTAGTTTTTCCTTAAAACAAGCAAAAATATCTGCCAAAGGGGCAAGAAAAATAATCTTGTTTAGCCTTTCAATTAAGATTATTTTTCTTACCCCACTGGCAGATATTTTTGTTTAAGCAAAAACTAACAACATTTTGATAATTGTTTTTTTTAGAAAACAAGACTTAATATCTTAAATAATTGTACTTGTCAAGTAAATGCATCTTGATTCCAGAATGTTATTTATACTAGAAAAAAAGTTAAGAAAATCATTTTTTGCAGTGTAGGAGTTGATAAACACTGGAAAATTATTTTTGCCTTGTTATCCAGTACAGATATTTAAATGTTCTTTAAAAAAGATAGAATTACTTTCGAGATGCCTTAAGATATTAAGTCTTGCTTTCTAAAAAAGTATAGTATAAATAACATGTGTAAGTATAAATAACACTCTTGAATCAAGATGATTTAAGTGAAATGATTTAAGATATTAAGTCTTGTTTTCTAAAAAAAATAAATTATCAAAAGTTAGTTTGTTTTTGCTTAAAAGAGAAAAATATCTTCTAATGGGAGTCAGAAATGAATTATTTTTCTGACCCAATTGGCAGATATTTGTTCTTATTTTAAGCAAAAAAACGTACATAATTTTGATACATTGTTTAGAAAACAAAAAAGTGAATGTATCTTGATTTTTAGATTTTTGTAATGGAAAACGACAAAAATGCAAAGTAAAAACATTCTGAAATTAACTAGTTATTGTAAAGTATCACCTAAATTTAGCTGCTTGTATTATTAAAAACTGATAAAAGTAACACTTTCGTTCTTCTTTAAGAGTTTGCTGGTTCATTTACATTAATAGAACTGAATGGATGCTTCAGAAACTGATTGTGTTGTATAAATAATCATTAGTGTCACAGTAAATTTGTTATTGCATATTATTTGTAATTATTTAATTAGTAAATGCAGTGTGTTCCTTCACTTTGGATACTTTGACAGTCTCTCTCAGGTCCATAAACTGCACCTCTTTCTGCTGTTGAACACAAATAGAGATCTTTAAAAAAAAACTCTCTATATGATCTGTGTCATATTCATTGATAAGCATCATATCTGCTGAATGAAATCCAAGTTACTTACTAATTTTGAGCTGCTGATTCCAAAAATAGGTTCTTTTTTGCTCTTCCACTTCACATGTATGATGTATATGTATTTTGTAGCATTTTTGCTTTTATAAGAATTTGTGTGGTGAAGATGTGTCGTATTCTCCCTTCATCAGCAGACAAACAGGACAAACACATGATTCCTGAGACAGATTATAACGATTTGATCAATTATCAGCCCATTTTCACAGGCATGACATTATTTAATGCCTAATCCTGATTTCATGGTCACAGTTATGGCCAGTGACAGAAGCTAATGCAAGCATGAGACACAGAAAATTACAGATTTTGTGAAAAAGCTTATCTATCTATAAACGTGTGTTTAAATGCACGCTAAATTATGTTTTGAATGTAACATTTGACATTTGTCAGCTTTTGTTATTTTGATAAGTGCATTAAAGCTGATACATGTGTGTCCCTGGAGCACAAAAGCAGTGTTAAGTCGCTGGGGTATATTTGTAGCAAAAGCCAACAATACATTGTATGGGTCAAAATTATACATTTTTCTTTTATGCCAAAAATCATTAGGATATTAAGTAAAGATCATGTTCCATGAAGATATTTAGTAAATGTCCTACTGTAAATATATCAAAACTTAATTTTTGATTAGTAATATGCATTGCTAAGAACTTAATTTGAACAACTTTAAAGATGATTTTCTCAATATTTAGATTTTTTTGCACCCTCAGATTCCAGATTTTCAAATAGTTGTATCTCAGCCAAATATTGTGCTATCCTAATAAACCATACATCAATGGAAAGATTATTTATTCAGCTTTCAGATGATGTATAAATCTCAATTTTAAAAAATTGACCCTTATGACTAGTTTTGTGCTCCAGCGTCACATATATGTATTTAAAAAAACTCATTCTTATTTTTTATTGTTTTTATTGATGTTTTTATCTCAGCATCATATAATTAAGTCATTTTAGACATTTTTTGCAAATCAGCAGAAATTACATTTCAAGAAGCAGGGTTGTGTTGTTTTCCCTAAGATATGAAATCTTGAAAATTGATGCAAGGTTTTTTTTTTTTAACAAACAAAAGTGACACTAATTTGAACCAAAGTGGAATGAAGATCTGAGATGATGATTTTATGGTGTTGTTTGACAGTTGTGGTCGTTGTATGGAAAAGAGTTGCATGAAGATTACTCAGTTTTCAATATGTATTTCTCCTTTTGTGTCTCATACGTGTTTGGAATGTGATGAAAGCCTCATTGCAATAGTGGCAGAGCTGCACGTCTCCTGGCTAAAGTTAGTCCCTCTCTTTTGGAGATCTGAGACCCTGTGCGCTCTAATTAATGTATGTAGGCGTACAAACGGCCCTGACGATGGGTGGGAGCCAAGCCTGGCCCACTGACGAGCATCCAGGGCCCTTCAGTCAGGCTCGGTTCAGTGCACAGACACAATGGGAGAACCTCATTCTCGTCTGTCATGTGGATGCGCAGAGACGTGCCTGTCCCCGAGTCCGTGTGTCTGAAAACAAACGTGCCGTGCTGCGAGATGCTCCGGGTTTGAGCCTGTTACCGTGGCGACAGACCCAGTTTTAGTGCCTTATGAAAACAGACAGGATTGAATGGCTAATATTAAGTATTAGTTATGAAGCGGTGAGACACACACAACAGTCGAAAACAGTCGTGCTGCCCAATTATTTTGTGGAAACTGAATGTGACACTGAAGACTGGAGTAATGATGCTGAAAATACAGCTGCGCATCACAGAAATACATTACAGTTTAACAGATATTCACATAGAAAACAGCTGTTTTACATTCTAATAATATTTCACAATTTTTACTGTATTTTGGAGCAGATAAATGCAGCTCTGGTGAGCAGGAAAGGCTTATTTAAAAACTAAAAAAAGCTGAGCTCAAATGCATTTTCTTACAAATTTTTGTGAAAAGAAAACTTACTAGGGACACTAACCCTTATGAAAATTAACCATGGTTTTACTACAAATAAAACCAAAAACCATCGTTACTATAGCCTAGTTAAACCATGGTAATCACAAATTAAACATGGTTTTCTTACAAAATTTTGGATACAAACAGTTACTTTTTTTCATTTGATACAAAGATGCATTTAAGCTTTATTTCTTGATTTATATTGGTTTTGTTAAAAAGTAGTTTTAATTTTTTTTTATTATAAAGCGATTTGAGTTGCTCTTCTTGTATGAAATGTGCTATACAAATAAAGTTTATTATTATTATTATTATTATTATTAATTACCCTTTTCTTTTAAACAGGTTTTAACCATTCTGGACAATTCCCATTCCAAAGGTAAGATTATTTTCCATGTTAAATTCTATACTCCTAATAAGTGGTGGACATGGCCAAAAGTCAAGGGGTGGGGTCTTTTATTATTGACCCCTTGTGTTTTATAAAAAAGGGAGAATTAGCTTCTTCTTTTTTTTTTTTTTTAAAGGAGCACAGTCAAAAAATTAGGACTTTCTAACCTTCTGATCAATGACAAAATTTAACCTTCACATTATAAGCTGATATTTGACTCCTCAAAGTGATTTGCAGTGGCACCTTTGTAATGCCATTTTTCTAACCTTATTAATAAATGTGTCATTTTTATGTAAAATTCATACATTTATATTTCTAAACTTTTTAATTTTTTTTAATTTTAAATTGAACTCAAATCAGAAAGATACAAATAAAATGAAATCAGTATTATCAACAAATTTCATCTTGGCACTATATGTGGCACAGAAGAGAATTTTGATATATTTACAGACTGTTTTACACGGCGCTGGAGGTGGCATGAATGCAAATAAATTCATAATAACAATGTCATGAGAATAATGTTTTAAATATGAAGTTTTGGATATACAAATATTGATTTAAATAACTGAAATAATACTTTATAGATGAAACTAAAACAGCCAGTAGGTGGCGGCAAGTCTTAGTCACTGAACCGTTCATTCAATCGATTCGTTCAAACAGCTGATTCATTCCGGAATGAAGCAAGTGAATGGGAGATTGAATCATTGCAATAAGTTAATTTAGTCTCTAATAATATTAATTATGGTCTCTTTATGGTTTTAATTGATGAGCTTCTCAATGAAAATGGATCTTTTCGGTTCTCTTTCATTCGAGGCTTTTATTTATTATTTTATTATGCGCTTTTAGTATTTCTTTTTAATGTCAATTACATTCTGCTCTTTTCTTTCTCATTTATCCATGCTTCTTTATTAGGCTAATTATTTATTAATTTATTAGCATTTATACCAAAGGCATAGAACTTACTAGGGATACTTACTACAATTAACCATGGTTTTACTACCTGGTGTTGCCAGGTTAACAAAAACAATTATAATAACTTTACACCTTAAGAGGACACAAAGAATGAATATAGAGATGCAGTTTTCACTGATTTAGGATGAACAGGACTTTGGACCGTTTCTATATAGGCTACTCATCTAGATCAACTCTGAATAAAAAAAAGAGAAGTTTTTGTTATTGTATGTAAAAACGTAGCTAGCAAGAAACACAAATCAATATAGTTCTTATCAAT